TAGTGCACACATTACATTTTTACTTTTTATGTTTTGTTAAATTGTTACGTAGTTAATATGCCATCAACTTCTTAAAAGATATATATATATATATATATATATATATATATATATATATATATATATATATATATATATATATATATATATATATATATATATATATATATATATATATATATATATATATATATATATATATATATATATATATATATATATATATATATATATAAACAAGAAATAATTGTCTATTAGATCTTTATAAGAGATCTCTGTTAATTTAAAAAATATATTACAATCACAACTATATTTATGTAAATATCTACAATTTATAAGTCATTTTGCCTACAAAATTTATATTGAAACATAAAGAAATGTTGTTCTAATATTAGTATGAAGAACTTCGAATTTATTGATTTCAATTTTAAGATAGATAAAGACTAATGGTCAATATCACACAAAATAAGCTTTTTGAATGAAAAATCATTTGCCTATTTGTTTACCGTTTATAGTCCATACTTTTTAATTAAATTTATAAATCTAAATAAAAAGATATTATATTAGAGCTATTTAACTAAACCATAAGTTAATATTCGAAAACTATAACTAAATTGTTACAGCATGGTCGTATAAGAGATGGACGTGCAACTTATTGTTGTCAGTCTAAATTATGGTTTTTCATAATATTGTTGTTAAAAATTCATGAACAGTCAGGGCAGTACTTTAGTTGTTATAACATGTTCGTAAACATTCACAATTTTATGTAAAAGTTGTGTGTTAAAAATATGTAAAATGTAGTTCTTTGTGACTTTATAATAATAAACTAATTTTTAAAGCAAACAGCAAGTATACAATTACGATGTTATCATCGAAGTTATTTTAGTAGTTAAGAAGTAATACAAAAAAAAAACTACATCTTTTGATAATGATCTTGTTAAAACAATCTTTTTATAATTAATTTTATCTAAATACACTAAGGTAATTTGATTAATTGTAGCCTAGTTTTGAAAGCAAACTGTTTGTTATAAAAGTTAAAAATAAAATTACTATTAATATAATTAAATTGAAACAGTTCGTATCACGTTAGAATGATTAAATTAATTTCAAACCGGAGTATTTTTTATTTATTAACATAACGTATAATAAAAGAAGGAAAAAAAAAAGCGGCATGTCGGAGAAAACAAAAAAATATATTAAAGTTGAAACAAAATGAGCAAAGAATTTAGACTCTGAAAGGTAAGAATACTAACTGAAATATAAGATATAAAACTCGACTAAAATATCCAATCCATAAATCTTTTTTAAAAAGCTCTCTCTATATGTTAGTTTTATTGTTGACCTTTACTTAAAAACAGGAAGTATTTGTCTAAGTATTATAAAAAATCTGTTATTATATCTTTGTATTTGTAATAAACATCATTTATTTATGCTTGATTTGAACAATAATTTGCAAGCACATAAATGATTCATTTTTTACAAAAATCACTTTACAGAATCGTCTATTAAATCTTTACAAAAAATCTTTGATTGGCAGCCATTTTAAATACTTTTTTGCTAATGACGGAATATTTTGATAAGATGGTGAAAACGCATGGCTCGCTGATTTTGACGGTTTCTTAGATGTAAAACAAAAGGTTGCACGTCCATCTCTTATGCGTCCATGGTTATAGTTATCGAAAAAGTTAAAAAATCGATAACTTTCAAACTATGTTTTTTTGACCATTTTGAAAATATTTTACATTCACGCATGCGTAAAAGTAAGTCCAATGGACGTCTGAGAACGTACTATATTGGACTTAGACGTTTTTGGACGTCCATTGGACGTCCATAGACGTACCATTTTGGACTTGGACGAATGGACCTAAAGTTGTTCATTGTTTAATAATAATAGTATAGTTAATGTTATAGTATTTGAGTAATATAGTTACATTTTCTTTTCAGTATCTCTACGTGTGATAACAATGCATACTGTATTAGAATCAGAAACCTTAGGTTTAAATCTTATACGTGGAAAAAAGTTGTGTCCAACCTGTCAAAGTAAAGTTATGAAACGTTTATCAAAAATATGAGTGAAAATAATTATGAAGATTCTGATATTGTTAGTAAAACATTCATTCAGAAAAAAAAGAGGGTTGTAAATACACACTTTATAGCTGCTGGAGTATCTCCTATTAAGGTCAAAAGATTGCATAAGTCAGCTGAAATCAGAGATAGAAAACGAAAATTAACTGCATTAACAACCTCTATTAAATAAAGTAGCCACTTCCCTTAATTACCATAAATATATTTAGAAGGACAGTCAAGTTTCATTAATGAGTATCTGCAAAAAAGAAAACATGTTTGATAACATGATTGTATTGTTAACTAATAAAATTGCAGTCTACAGCAGCATTTAAAAAAATACAACTGACGACGCTTGCTCAAACTGACTGGTCAATAAAAAAAAATTTCTGAAACATTACATATAACAAACTATGTAGCTTGAACTGCTAGTAGATTAACATTAGAAAAAGGTATTTTAGCCATGCCTAATCCTAATTTAGGAAAGGTTCTTCCTGATGTAACAGTTCAACTGGTCAAGTCTTTTTATGAAGATGATGAATATAGCCGAATAATGACTGGTAAAAAGGACTATGTAAGTATAAAGAAAAATGTTCACATGCAAAAACGTTTGCTCTTATGTAATTTAAAGAAATTGTTTCTTGCTTTCAAAACCATGAACCCAGAAATAAAAATAGGGTTTTCAAGGTTTTGCACATTGCGACGAAAATGATTTATTACTGCTAGTGCTTCAGGAACACATTCAGTATGCGTCTTGTGCTATTCATCAAAATTTAAAACTGCTTTTATATCTTCTTGGTGTGACATACAAAGAACTGTTACCTTATAATGTATGTGACATGACTAATAAAGACAGTATGATGCGTAAATGTGAAAGATGCCCAGCAACTATGAATGCATTGGTTGAAAAACTTAATAATTTAATTGGAGAGTTTGACGATGACAATGAAATATAATTTGATCAATATAATAAAGAGCCAGTGTCTAAATACATTGAACTAGTATGTAAAAAATTGACAAAACTTGCACCATACTTGTATTTAGCTAAGACTCAAGCCTCATATATGAGATCAAGAAAAGAATATATAATTGAGTTAACAGCATTATTTTTGGGTGATTTTTCAGAAAATTATAAATTTGTAGTTCAGGATGAAGTACAAAGCTTTCATTGGACAAATTTACAATGTACACTTTATCTTGTGATTATTTATTTCAAAAAAAAAAGTTTTCTCAATTATAAATCTTATTTAATTGTTTCAGAAGATATGATGCATGATGTGAACGTGGTGTACAAAATTATTGATGTTGTCAGCAATGATATTAAAACAAATCTATCTCAAATAAAAAATATTAAATACTTTACAGATGGGTGTGCAGGTCAATATAAGAATTGTAAAAATATTTTCAATCTTTTTTTCCATCTTGAAGATTTAGGCCTTTCTGCTAAATGGAACTTTTTTGCAACTAGTCACGGTAAGCAACCTTGTGATGGAGTAGGTTTGGAGTTTGCGCAATGTGTGGAAGTGGTTTATCTGAAACATCAAAAAATCCTGCAGGCGCCCATGCATGTATATGTATGTACATAGAGATAAACTATAACCTTCTACTCCCTATAAATACATCTTTTTATGTTGGCAAACTAGGATCTTTAGTCAGAATTTTAACTTTTCTATTGACTAGCTGGTTGTTGTGTAAAATTAGAAAATCGAATTACGTACTTTTAAGTTGAACCCTCATCATAGCTATTTTACGCTTTTTTTAGGCATATTTTAGATCAGCATATAAGTTCAGATTAGATTATTTCAAAATAACTCAACATCGTTAAATTTAATATTAGAAAAGTATTTACTTTGATTCTACTCAATTGAAGTTGCCTACGTATAAATAGTGCCATAAATATGCTATGCAATACGTATAAATAGTGCCATAAATATGCTATGCAATACGTATAAATAGTGCCATAAATAGGCTATGCAATACGTATAAATAGTGCCATAAATATGCTATGCAATACGTATAAATAGTGTCATAAATAGGCTATGCAAACTTTTTTTATTTTCTAACCCAGTCAATTATTATCTAACTTTTACATTTATATCAATATTAATTTCTTATGAATACTAATTTGCTTATAAAATTATTTATAACCTATAAAGCTATTTATAACCATTTTATCAAAGGCTTTTAATATCCATGTGCTTCAAATTGAAACAATGAAAACCTTACCGTACAATCATAGTTTTTTAATTAGACATGATTTGACTTGGTGCAAAACAACTGCACATTTACTTTTAGGTTAAAAAAAATTAACTAAAAAAAAAAATTTTTTTTTTATTAAAAGTGCTTAAATATTGGCTATAATATTAAACTTTCTTTAAACTATTAACTTTTTATAATTTTTTCTGTTACTACTAGTATTATTCTTATTAAATTAAATTTTACTTTTATTATAATTTATGTTTATAAATTAAAGTTTACATTAAAGTTTACAAAGTTGTAAACTAAACCTCCTTAAACAAACTATAGTTTGCAGAATACAAGTTTCAAATTAGTATACTGTAATTTGAAACTTGTATTATTCAGTATACTGTAATTTGAAACTTGTATTCTAATAATCGAAGCAAACATTGTTTGCTAGTCCAAATTCCATTACCAACTCGAGTAAAAATCTAATAAAATGACTGTAGAGACTTAAAAAAATAATTGTCAAGAAAGACAACAAGGATAAAAAACAATTTTGACTACTTTTTTTGCATGATGGTTCGTTAAGGCTTCAATTGTTAATTATGACTTTTTTGCTGTTCAATATAATTTTAAAGCACATGTTAAAAAAGAAGATTTTGTTTTTCAACAAAAAAAAAATTTTAATTCTACTTTTTCTTATTCAAGCTTTAAATGGAGAAAGTTGTAAAGATGTTAAGTATAGGAAATGTACCATGTTCTCGCAATGCAGGAAAACGCTGAACGACATCGCAACAGAATGTAAGAATTTATTACAAGACATAAATTCTGATTTTAAATGTTCTCAAAAATGTCAACTTCTTCTTAAAAACTTCATTTCAGAACTTAGTTTTGGTAAAGATTTATCCACTTGTAATTGTGTTCAAGATGCAAACTGTTTAATTTATAAAAGACGATTTCAAATTTGTCTTGATAACAAAACTGACACAGCTGAAAACGGATGTCAGAAATATCATAAACAATGTGATAATAGCGAAACTTGCAAGATGTTATATACGCGATGGTTTGATTCGTGTACTGATCTTTTTAACGAATACGAATATACAGCAGAATGCAAAGTAGCCGAAAAAAATTTATTTGCAAACGATATTGGAGGACTCATTAAGTCATGCGATTGCGACGGAGATACTGAACAAGAAAAGTTTTGTTTAGAAGTGAGGTTTAATAGAGACAAACTTTCCAGAACTAAAGAAAAAAATATCGTTTTAAACAACATAAAAAAAACAAAAAATAACGCAGATAAAAATAAAGCTGAAAACTTCAGCAAATGTAATTTCCATTTTTTTGTCATTGTGTTTTGTCAAATATTATTATGCAACTTTTTGTTAACGCTTTGTTAAAAATTGTTCTTAATTATTTACTTTAATGCTCCAAAACGTGATATTTATTTCTAACTAGTCAAAATTTTTTAGTAAGTTGGACAAATATTGAGCAAATATCAGCAGAGATGTCCCGAGGGAAGGGGGTCTTAGGGGGTGTCTAGCCCCCTTCGAAATTTATTAGTCGGCAAGTTGGACAGTGGAGTCGGCAAAATTGAAATTATAGTCGGCAGTCGGCAAATGTCAGCTAACGAGGAGCTTTTTTTTTTACTAGGATTTACTCGGCAAATAACACATACTTAAACTCCTTTACCCCCTCCCCCTTCCCTCATTTAAGATCTTTTTCGGTACGAACCTGAAAGTAAGTTATAACTTCATATTGTAATATTTATATATAACTTTTTTTTAATTATAACTTTGAAAATTAAAATTTCAAACTAAAAGTGATATAAAAAGTTTAAATTGTTAAGCGTGTAATAATTATCTACAAATGAGTTATGTTTATAAGTTTTTCATTGATATATATATATATTTTTTAATGTTAAATAAGATTATACTTTTTCTGAGTTTTCAAGCTTAAAGATACATCAGTGAAAAAATTTTTTGCCCGTAAAATTGATAAAGTTAGAAAAATTAAAAATCGTAAAAACTCATTTAGCAAATATCATAAAATTTAGCTTTAAGCATAAACTCAGCTTTTTTGCAGTTCATATTACCGCAAAGAGCGCTTTACAAACATATTATTAAAAGACGTCGCAACTTTGTCAGAGCAATGACTTTTGTAAAAATATCCTGCTTAAAATAAATTTTGGCATTCTGTCTATGTTTACAAAAAATGCTAATCTGATGGTTTGTTTCTAATCACTCACCAAATCCAATTCCACAGCTTGTAATAACTCAATAAAGATATTGTTCATATAATACAAAGTAACAAGTATAAATACCAAGTAACGAGTACTTAGAAATTACCAAAAAACATACAACCTGGAGTAGATCTAGCATTTTTTGATCTTTGATGCACTTGCAATGAGTGGAGTCTGTAAACAAAAAAGAAACAAAAAATTTTACCCCATGCTCAAAATGTGAAAGCAACTAGTTGATAATATATTTTTTTGTGTTATTCTCAATTAAAATTATATTAATTGATAAATTCAAGTTTAATAGTATGATCTCTTAGCGTTCAAAAATTATAACCATATAAAATTTGAAACTCCCTCGATTTGAGGGGGTTCAAACTTTATATGATCATTATTTTAAAAAGCTGAAATACTACACTATGAAATTTAAAATTTATGGATGAATATAAATCGAGTTGAGAAAAGTGAAAAAGATATTTTATAAACTTGTAACTCTCATATATGGGGCAGGGGAAAAATTTGGGTTTTTTTTGTTCTCAAGCTCCAATCGTCGAATTTTTTAGCAAAGCATTCTTTTGGACGCTAGTATAAACATGTAAATAATTAGAGTTTGCTCCATGCCTTGAAATTAACTGTTTCAAAGACAAAAAAGTGCTAGATCCGCCCCTGTAATCAATAAAGGTTGTGAAGTGTAACACAGTTATTGTAAGGAATTTGGCTCTATTTTACAACTCTTGTATTTTTTTTTTTCTTTTTTTTTTCTCCCTACATTTTTAAAACTACATAGTTTTAACAATACATACTTTTATTACAAATAGTTTTAACAATATATACTTTTATTGAAATACTTTTACTGAAAAAGTAAAAAAGCTTCAAAAATAACTGAAATAGTTAGGATATATTTGATGTAAAAAGTAATAAAACAATGTAAAATAGTTTTACAGCATATATTTTGAAAAGACAAAATAAGTTTTAAAAAGGAAAAAAATAAACCTTTAGTTATGTAGTCAAGGGAAACTCGTAGAAAACTGTATGAAGTTGTCATACAGTTTTCTTGTCATCGAGAACCTTTTTTTTAAATAATTTCATGAAATACTTATAACTATTTTATTCATTACTTGTTATATTTTTCAATATAATTAGTTGTGTTATAAGGAAGGAGCACATCATAAACATAACTTATATATATATACATATACACATATACACACATACACACACACACACACACACACACACACACACACACACACACACACACACACACACATATATATATGTATATATATATATATATATATATATACATATATATATATATATATATATATATATATATATATATATATATATATATATATATATATATATATATATATATATATATATATATATATATATATATATATATATATATATATATATATATATATATATATATATATATATGTATTCATTCTTGTTTATATAATTAAGTTTTGGATTTTTTTTTTTTTTTTTTTTGCGACAAATTTTGATATTTGAATTACTCATAAGATATTAGAAAATTTCCATATAACTGCTTGTATCTAAAACGAGTTTTTTAAGATTAGCTTTTATTGAATTTATACTTTTCAGGAGAGATATTGAGAAATTTTGTGGTATTAAATTGTTATACAAGTGAGGACCACGATATGTTAAAGAGAATTGGGACAGTTTTCTTTTTTCCAAGAGTATTATATATTTTCCAGTTGCTCTAGTGCTAAATTTATTTACATAAGTTTTAAAAAGTTATTTATAAATCGACTTGGAACAGTTTCCATTTTATGTTTGAAAATAAACAAAATATTTTGATATATATTGATTTGGTAAATAATTAAAGTATCCATCTGTTTTAGTAATGGGTTTGCATGAGTCAGTTTGTTTTTGTAAAATATAATTCTTGAAGCGAGTTTCTGTTGTCTGTAGAATGAACTTAATATAGTTTTATAGGTACTTGCCCATGCTATATTGGCGTATGACAGATAGCTGTGTCTAAAGGAAAAATAAAGAAGTTTTAAATTTTTGAAGGATAGATAATTTCTTGCTTTATAGAGTAGACTTATATTTTTTGAGATTTTTGTATTAATGGTCTTTATGTGAGAATTCAATGATAAAGTCTCGTCAAGAAGCACACCAAGAAGTTTAGATGATTGAGTTCGTTTAATAATTATGTTGTCTATACTAAGGCTAGGTAAAATTGATGGGATAGCCAATTTTTTTTTGTTGGGGTGAAATAACATGTATTTAGTTTTATTCAAGTTTAATGACAATTTAGATGTATTAAAACAGTTAGGTGGTGGGCATGGTTTTTTTTGTTTAAAAATTTGGATTACTTTTAGCATGATTACTCTGAAGCATGTGTTAAGTTTAATAAGTTCTAAGTTTGCGTTTATAAAGAGGTCACTGATTGAGCTAGATGAATAAAACAGATTAGTGTCATCTGCAAAAATTATGCAATCTAACTTAGATGAGGCTTTAGGGAGGTCGTTGACATAAATTAAAAATAGAAGAGGAGCTAGAATAAATCTTTGAGGGACCCCACATATGATTTTCAGTTGTTTCGAGTTGTTATAGTGATCTATGGTAACACATTGTTGTCTGTTGTCTAGGTAGTTGGTAAACCATTTTATAGTTTGATTTTTTATGCCATATTTTTCCATTTTTTTTAGTAGTATTGCGTGGTGTTAAACAACTTTGTAAGATCATTAAAGACTTCCAATACAAATTTCTCATCATTGAAGGAAGTGGTAATGTTATTAATAAGATCTAGGATACCATGTTTGGTTGAAGTTGTGTTTGAAACCCGTATTAATTTTTCACTTAAGATTTTGTGTTCTATTAAATATTTAAACAGTCTTTTGTAAATTATTCTTTCAAGGAGTTTAGAAAATATAGGGATAATTGAGATTGGTCTATAATTGCTAATTGCTGATATGTCTTCACCTTTAAATATAGGTACAGTTTTTGTTATTTTTAATTTGTCTGGAACAACACCGTTTTTGATTGAAGAGCTGAAGATTTAAAAAATAGGCTTTTTTTCAGAAAAAACATAAAGTACAATATTGCCAGAGATGTGTTAACTGCCAAGTTTTGTAATTAGTTGTTAATTGCCAAGTTTTGTAGTTAATTGCATTTTTCAAAATTCTAACCAAAAATATAAATGCTTTTATACTTAAGATATACACAGATTTATACACACAATATATTTCACAAAATAATGGCATGTATGCTTTCTCAAAAAAAACTTTGAAATAGCTTTGATTGTGTCAATAGCATTACGCACTTGCACAACTGGATTAAGATCATTAACGATTAGATTGAGACAATGCGCAGAACAATGAACAAAGGCTGCGTTGGGATTAATACTACGTATTTTAGCACACACACACACACACACTTCGTTACACACACACACACACACACACACACACACACACACAATTCGTACACACACACAATTCACTAACAATTCGTACACACACACACACACACACACACACACACACACTCAAACACACATATAAAAAGCAAAAACAAATAAGCAAACAAACGGAAAAAGTAATATTCATTGCAAAAAGAATTTATTAATCACCAGTGAGCGAAATTCTCTGCCACCGTCTGTAAAGAATTAAATAAAAATTTAATTAAATTAATATTAAAATAATTAAAATAATTGATAAAAATAATTATAATTTAATTAAAGAATTAAATAAAAATTTTTAGCAAATCAACTGCATAGACAGTTAAAGTTAAAAAAACTAGTCAAAAAAAAGGATTTTTATATTAATTTATAAAATCTAGGGTGGGTCAAGTGACCTTTTTTTGACATATACTACCTTACCAATCAAGAAAACCTCAAGTCAAGCGAGATAAATTTTGAGACATTAGCCAAAAATTGCTTAATAATAGGCCAATATGTAAATACGTCATTATTTAAGACTTTTTTTTTTTATATAGGTGTAAAATTTTTTGGCAATCATATTTGACATCTTAAATAAGTTTTTTCACTTTAAATGTTTTTGGTTCGCAGGCCAGTACACGGCGGAGGCTCATGACCGCATAAGTTAATTTTTTCAATGTTAGTAATTTTTTTCCCGAGATAAAAGATTTTAAACACATAGATTTTAAAAGACTTCATGATTTGATCCTGTAATCTTCTAGAAGTCCTCACAGTAATATATACCGTTTAAATTATTATATTACATTTTAGATATTATGCTGTAAAAAAAAAATTTTTTGTTATTGATAAAACGCCAAATCCAAATATATATAAATCGCCTTTGTTCACTTTTTATGTCTAACACGCTTTGTTGTTTACAACAATGGCCTCTTGGTTTACCGTTGTGAAGTTCTTTTAAAAAAGACATTGCATGTAAATATATTTACTTTAAAATGTCCAGAATTCAAGCAGAAAACGTTATCAAAAATGCCATATATGAAATAGTGAAACAATGTGCTGCAAAAGAAAAAGTTGTGTCCGAAAATTTAGTTGCATTTGTGGCAAGTGTTATACTGTCTTTTAATTCACTAATTGGGCAATATAAGTTAATTATGTTAAATTTAATGTAATAAGTTTTTAAAAAATAATTTTTATAATGAAAACAAAGGTAATATTTACAATTAAGACATTACGTTGAATTTAAAAATTTAAACGATTATAAGAACACACAATAAAACATATATTTTAAGATTGTTTATTATTATATTATTGTTTATTATGCTATTATTCTTTATTGATCTTTTTTGTATTTTATGTGCTAAAGTTTCAAGATAAAGATTCACACGCGCAGTAAGCACAGTTAAAAAGAATTTAAAAGATAAAATTGTTTAAAAAAGGTTTTTTCAACAAGATACAGTGAAAGTCTAGAGGGCCATAAAAAGAAAAACATAAGAAAAAAGAAACACGATTAAAAATAATTCAAATAGTTTGATTTTTTAAATGCATTTTGTTATGTTTTACCACAATATTTTTAGTTCAGAACTTGGTATTTCAATAAGTAATTACCAGGCTGCTTATGTCTTCAAACTTATTTACTACTGAAACTGTTTTAAATAAAAACTATAAAAGAGCAAAAATGAAAAACTATTAAAAACAAAAGCAGCAAGACATTTGCTACACATATAAATTGACTAATAAATTATTGTTAAAATAGTTAAAATAGAACTATCAGTAATGATAATTATAAAAGCAAAAATATTTTACTCTAGGTAAAAGCCATAGTTTTAGATGATCGTAATGGTTTCCAAGTTAATCAAACGTCTGAATATACTTTTGCTGAAGAACTCATTAAAGTAAGTTACCTTTAATGTATTAAATAAGTATGGATTTTAATACTCTTAATATTTAAGAATAGTAGACCTGTGTTAAAGTGTTGGCATTGAATATTAGTAATTTCAGCTTTTTCGGTGGGTATAACTAAAAAAAAAAAGCTGATACCTAACAAATTTATTAAATTAAATTATATATCAAATATGTTATATTTATTGTGATAAAACATTTTATATACTCAATCCACTCTGTTACTAACAAAGTGAATTTAGTAACATTAGAATAACAATAGTCTTATTCTAAATCAAAGTATACAAACAAACTTATTGCAAATCAAGTATTATAAGTATCAAAGTGGAGAAAGGTTTTATATTTATAACATCTAATGTTATTATTAATGTTATAATTAAGTTAATATATAAATTAATAAAAGCTAAATATATATACACAGATATATATATATATATATATATATATATATATATATATATATATATATATATATATATATATATATATATATATATATATATAGGCCTCGGCTGGAAGCGAGAGCTTTAGCTCTCTTACTATACATATATATATATATATGTAAATATATATATATATATATATATATATATGTATATATATATATATATATATATATATATATATATATATATATATATATATATATATATATATATAGTTTATTTATTTATTCAATTCCATAAATATTTTAAGGTATGAAACAGTTTTTGTCTTTTGTTTTGTTTGTTTGTTTTTGATTTATCAGTTAATCTTTATTTAATTACATTTTTTGTAAGTTTTAATGATATCAAAAAATGATTTTATCTTTTGATTTTGTATTTTATGTTACTCGGTTTTTATAACCTATGTATCTTACAGTATATATTACGATTATAGTCTTCTCTTTGCGCCAGTCTTGTAAAAATTTTATTCATGTACTTTGTAATTGTTAATATTCTTTGATGGTGAAATATATATTTTTCTTTAATATTATTATGAATCTTTTTACTTTTATTATTAAAAGTATTTTTTTGTTGTTGTTATTATTATTGTTATTATTATCATTTATAATTGTATTATTATTATTATTATTATTATTATTATTGTTATTGTTGTTTTTAATAATAATAATAATAATAATAATAATAATAATAATAATAATAATAATAATAATAATAATATTGTTATTATTATTAGTATCATAATATTGTTTAATACTTTTTTTTTTTTAATTATTATCATTGTTATTATTTATTTACATTTTTTCATGATTACTCTCATTTTATTTACCACTTAATTCAATGTCAGGCTATTTTATACAGTTAAGTGTTAGGCTATTATATACAGTTAAGAAAGAACTTTATAAAATAAGAACTCTGTAAAAATTTTATCCTCTAACTCTAAGGAAATAACTTTAAAAATATTTGTTCTTTTTACCAAAAAATGGTATCTAGTTGTTTTCTAGGGTATGGGAATTTGATGAAATGCTTAAGTTATCATAGAATTACTAATTTAAATATTTTAATTTTATAATATATTAATTACTCTCTTATTACCATTTTAAACATTTTTATGTAATTTTTTATATACCTGATTTAGATGTTCAAGAAACCCATGAGGCCTTGATAATGTTAAAAAAAGAATTGTTTTTTTTTTTTTTCTTTTAACATCTTTATTTTTAACAAGGCTGCAAGCAACCGCTATTATTGTTGGAAGTTATTGTAAGAGAAAAGGTAAAGTTTATAAAGAAAGATAACGATTAAAAGACAGCTTAAAAGATTACAAGTTATATGAATCAGGAAAACAAGATGAATTCCAAAAAACTGATGTTTCAGGGGAAAAACTAGACAAAAAAGAATTTTTGGAGAACTCAGAAATGTTCACTGTAAAAGGATGTTTAAGACATTACGTTGAATTTAAAAATTTAAATGATTAAAAGAACGCACATTAAAACTATATATTTTAAGATTGTTTATTATTATACTTTTATATTTTTATATAAAAATATAATAATAAACAATCTTAAAATGTTAATAAACAATAATTATTGTTTATTAATACTATAATGAGTTTTCTATAAATACTATAATGAGTGCTGCTCTATAGAGCAGCACATGTTATAGTATTTATAGAAAAGAGAAGCAATATTACAACCATGTGACAATGGTTAAAAGTTAACTACAAAAGCCGATCCAACTATGTTTACAATGTGTTTTTGCGCTATGTCTAAAAGAGAAAGGGCAATGGATCAAACAGTTTTTTCGGCTTTATCAGGTAGTATGTAATTAATTGAATCAAGAGATAAAATTGATGAATAATTCTTAGCAAACATTTTAACTTAGTCTTTAGGTAAGATAACAAAATCTGAACTATGTAAAAGAGGTGAAATAACAGATTTTCCCTTATTATAGACACTGTTAAAGATTCTCCAGAAGTCACGAGAGCCTGATTTTTGAGATGAAATACTGGCTTTGGCATTAAATAAAACCTTTTTGCTATAATTTCTAGGATTAGTAAATAGATGTCTGTTTTCTGGAGATTTGTTATGACAATAGATATGGAAGTGATAGTTACATTTGGAAATGCACCAACAAGATGAAAGGAAAATCATGGAGAAGAGTGAGGATTGACTTGGATTTGTTGAGTAGAAATAAAAGATTCCATGCTAGCCTGATTCTAAGAAGTTACATATGAAGCACATTTGTAAGCAGGAATTCGAAATGTTTCTACCCAAGGGCCATCACAAAGAAAATCACAGATATATTCAAAATTGTAGAAAAAAAAGTTTCTTTAAACACCACAAATATTAGTGAATGATAGGTTTAGAGAACTTGGTTATGATGTTTTTTTGTGTTTTTATATAGTTTTTGGAACTTTGTTAAATTTTTTGATTTGTTTAAGAACTTGACACAGAGCACAGAGAATGCTCAGTACATAGTCCAATCAATTGTTACTGTTAATCTTAAGCTGTAACAAAGAGTTCCAAATATAGCCTTGAATATGCACACCAAAAGTATCATCAGGAACACCATCCATGCGCAACATGGCACTGTCAGTGCTTTAATACTTTACAGCTGTTGGTGTCAATCTCTGAGAGTACAGAGTTTGAGAAGCCTGACAACCAGCTGGCCTCAGAACCATAAATCTGAGTTTTAGAGCTGTAATCTCATCAGAGATAATAGAATAGTTGCCTACTTATAAAATCAGTAATATTAACAAAACCTATACATTGAGTTGAGAAGATCCAGCGATTGACAATTTAAACTAGAAATAATATATTATAATTACCTCTACACCAGCCTAATAAATGAAGAAGGGGTGCAAAGCTGGTCAATAGGTAGAATCTGTCTACCCTTTAAGTTTTTGCCTAGGATGTCTTTTACAAGACAGTAGTTGGATGCATTTAAGATATTTTTATCTAGGCACCAAATCCAGCCTTTACTCAACCAAGAACCTTATGGCAAGGTGTGTGTTAAATCAGAGTTGACTAGACTTTGTCTAAAAAAGTGTGTCATACAAGACAGAAGGACATTAAGCAGGTTGTACTGGGTTTTATGTTACCAATAGCAGGATAATCTGACCTGACAATCATGTAACAAAAAAACGTTAGTCATAACTTTACACCAGTATAGAAGAAATTTGTCATCTAATAAATTCATTACTTTTTTTTTTGTAACAAAGTGTGTCTATCGTTTTTAACGTTTGTTTTTCTTAATGTTTTTTTTTTTTTGCTTAACATATTTGACATAATTGATTTCAATTAAAATTTTCATGTTAAAATTAACAAAAAATATATATAAAATTATTAAAAAAAACCAATCATTGTTGAATTTTTCATTGTCATAATTTTAAGGCTGTTTGCTCTAAGTTAATTACTATTTAGTTAATAATTATTCAGTTGTTAGTTTTATATCGAGAATTGATTTTTGTAGTTTTAAAGGAACAGTCACAGAAAAAGAATGAGACTTAATTGAATGACAAGTAACACAAGTGAATTTTAGTAGATGGCACAAAAGATGCTAGTTCTTTAGAGCAGTGCCCATTATAGTATTTATATAAAAGAGAAAGACAAGCAACATTACGATGATGTGAAAATGGTTGAATGTTGATTGCAAGAGCAGGTCAACTATGTTTACAATGCATTTTTGCACCTTGTCTAAAAGACAAAGGGCATCATTAGAAGATCTGCCCCAGATATGGCAACAGTATTCTATGCAAGGACAGATTTAAGACTTATAGAGATGAAGAATAGAATCCAGAGAAAAAAAGTGTCAATCAAAAAATAAAAAAAAAAAACAGCACGATAAGGAGAGATGCAAGCTTAGCAGTTGCTAGTTTTGCAATGGATTTGATTTACAGTTTCCAAGAAAGATCGGAAGTAAGAGTTAATCCTAGAAGATGAAAGGTAGATGAATCATCGGGTACATTACTGTTAATAAATATAGGAAGATCTAAATTATTGCGATAACAAGTGGCTGGAAAAAATTGGGTTTTATCTAAATTTAAGTTCACCAGCCATTGTGAGCCCCATGTTGTAGCAGAAGTGAGATCTTTTTCAAGCTCAAATACCCTCTCCAATCAATCAGAGAGTGTTGGCTTCTTGTTATGACAAGAATAAATGGTAGTATCATTAACAAACAATCCCACCTTAGATGTGAGAATATCTGGAAGATCATTAATGTAAATTAAAAAGAGTATAGGGCCAAGGATTGAACTTTGAAAAAGTTATAAGATTCAAGATGAGAGTTTAATTGTTTTTTAATAAAAGACTTAAAAACCTTGCTTATGATAGAAAGAGGACTAATGGGACGGTAGTTAGACGAGTCAGATTGCTCTCCAGAGTTTTTGAAAATGGGGATAACAAATGCTGCTTTCCAACAGGCTGGGTAACAAGACTCTGATAAGTACTTATTAAATAGTTTTGAGTGTAAAGACGACAGCTTCGGAAAACACTTCTGCAAGACAATAACAGGCATGTTGTCTGGGCTACAAGCTGTAGAAGAGTCTAATCAGGAAATCACTTTTGATACAGAAGCTGGAGTGATATGAATGTCAAGCAAAGGTTCAACCTATTTGACAGCTATATCAGGTAGAATGCAATTAGTGGAATCAAGAGATGATATTGATGAAAAGTACTTAACAAATAATTCGGCTTTGTCTTTAGGTGTGGTGACAAAGTCTGAATCATACATGAGAGGTGGAATACTTGATTTGCCCTCATAATTGATACTGTTAAGGATTCTCCAGAAGTCATAAGAGCCTAATATTTTTGAGAAACCATTTCAAGGCAGCTTTCAGCGGCTTAAGACACTATCTCATTAGGCAGTTTTTGGTAGCTTCTCGCCACTCAGCTGACTCTACTGATTTGTTTCTAGATAGAAATGCTGAAGCCATTAATTGTGATGTCTTAATACAAAAACATATGCTTGTTTTGTTTGATTTTACTCAAACAGCACTCTGAATTATCATATCACTCTGAATTATCAATTCGTTTTTGTTTTTATTTTAGTACAAATGAGAAGAAAATAAAATACAATAAAATGAAAAAGATCCACATTAAAAGGCACTTTTTTTTATATGACTGTTACAGAAAATTGCTGCCTTTTTTTCTGGTGTTGTTTTTGATGTTTCTTTTTTTGAAAAAGTCTATTAGTTTTCAATAGTAGTGGTTTACTATTTAGGTAAAGGATAATGCAATTGACCAGCCTCTAGTTTAAATTATAAACTCAAGTATTGTGAATTGAATATAAACTTGTTATGATATATATGGAATACTGCAAAAACATGATTTTAACATCAAACTTAAAAAAAATTACTTAGAAACCAACATTTAATTGAAAAAAGAATAAAAAATTCGCTGATGACTGCAAAATTATGTGTATAATACTTCTTGATCCTAAATATAAATCAAATTTATTTTTTTTAATAAAAGTTTTGATGTTAGTTGAGAACCTTAGAACTTTAAAACACAAAAAAAACATAAATCTATAAAGTGTTTTGAAAATATGAATGATCTCTTCAGTTAGTAACAGAAAATTAGGTCAAGGAAGAAGCGCAATCGTTAATGAATGATTAATGGTGTGATGCAGTGGTAGAATACTTACTTCAAAAACGAGAAGTCTGTCCAAGGTAGTATTGCTCTTAAGTTGTTTCTCAAAAAGTAAATTTTACCTTTGCTGCAATAATAACCTACTTTAAAAACCATTTTTAGCAGAGCTGCCACTAAATATAATCAAAATACATTAACACATGTAAATATGTTATTTCCTTTGCTTGAATCAAGTTTGACTCTGGTTTGAATTAGTTTTGAATCTGCTCAAATCAGGTTTGAATACTTTTATTTTTTTTTTATGGCTTTTTTTTTCTTGCCAAAACTGCACTCTTTTTAATGCTTTTTCTAATTGAATAGACTGGGTCCTTTCTTTTTATCTGTTAGCCAATGTTGTTGTTAACATTGACTTTAATATTCACCACACTAAATGGTTTGGTTTTAGTACTACTGACCTTGCAGATACTAAAGCTCAAGTTTTTTGTTTTTTTTTTACTCTCTAATAGTTAACATAAATCACTTAAGTAACACTTAACTTTGTTACCGATTTCCAGACAACCCTAATTACTTACCTTTACTCCTTGACTTATATTTTATCTCTGCCTTAACTTGTGTTCAGTTTCTTCTTGTTCTTCTATTGGTGACCGTGTTGCAACTCAAAAAAAAACATCAGATTCACACTTAACTAAGATATTAGACTCATTCTATCATGAATTTAACTGAAACATCAAACCCTATCAAAACATTTTCTTAAACTACCATACAGCTGGCTTTAATATTTTTTTTGTAACTTTTTTTTTTTCTTCTTGAGGTTGATGTGTTTTTTATTTTCACTGAAAATTGCAACTTCTATATAGTCTCTTGAATTTAAGCAGGCATGCAAGATTTCTTAGTTTCTTGGCATGCAAGATTTCTTAGTTTCGGTTCATGCTTTACTCTTTACCATAGTTTTTCTTTCTTGTGCAGCAACCATTTCATTTTTGCACAAAAAACATATTTTTTTGTTGCAAAAGTTGATGCAAAAAACTATTGTGTAACATGGTTCCAATTTTTAACATGGTTCCAATTTTTGAGTTGGCCAAGTAACTCAGAGGCAAATTTTGTCTCTGAGTAAGGCAAAAACTTTTAAGTCAGGCATGTGCTTTTCTTTGTAAGCTCTGTTCATATGGTTTATTTAGGAAAAATTCCAAAATTATTGAATCATTTCTTACCTCAGAATTAAAAACTTTCTTGATGGACAACACTCTTCTTCATTTTTAATAAGATCTAGGGTACCGCAAGGTACCTCCCTTCATCGTGTGTTGTTTTTTATCTATATTAATGATCTTTACGGAAAACTTACTTCTAAAGTGTCTTTATTTGCTGACCATAGTCCTGACAAAAAGTCATCATATTTTGATTGTTTAGAACTTGTTCTTTAACTATCTTCTGTATTTTCTGGTAATTGCAGACTAATTTAGTAGTTGCTTGCGGCTTTGTTGGGAGCTTCTTAAAGAGTAATAATAACAGTTTCAATTATTATTTTTATTATTCAAAATAAAGTGCTATTGAATTGAAGTTTTTTTGAATTAAAATAGTTTCATGGCTGTTAATAGGAGGTTATATCCATGTTTAAAATCTTAGTAGTGTGACTTGGTCCTTTTAAAATAGTTTCATGGCTGTTAATAGGAGGTTATACCCATGTTTAAAATCTTAGTAGTGTGACTTAGTAGTGGTCCTTTTAAAATCATTTTTAAAATTTTAGTAGTATGACTAGGAGCTTTTCAGTCGAGATTAATTTCAGGATTAAGATTATTTAGAATTATTTGTCAAAATGTTATGATTTTTTCAACTTTACTCTTTAAGTCAAAAATATTCCCAATAAATTTATTTTTCCTTGATCTCATAGCTTTTAAACAGTGTGGTTATAGTGTGTGCTAGTCATCAATAATTGACTGTAACTGTTTCTTTGTATTCAAAAAATACTTCCAATAAATTTATTTTTCATTGATCTCATTGCTTTTAAACAGTTTGGTAAACATTTAAATTTATAATCTTAGTTTCATTATATTATTTTTGTATTTTTTAAATGTTTTTCATGCAAATGTGCAGCTACTGTTTCTTTTTTGCACAAAAATATTTTTTATTGTTACAAAAGTTGATGCAAAAAACTATTGTGTAACATGGTTCCAATTTTTAAAAACTGAGTTGAGTAAGCAACTGTTTAAAAACTGAGTTGGCCAAGTAACTCACTCAGAGGCAACTTTTGCCTCTGAGTGAGGCAAAAGCATGCAATTTTATTTGTAAGCTCTGTTTATATGGTTTTTTTTATGAAAAATTGATTTTGATTGTTTAGAATAGCCATCCTGAATGTAGTTTCTTTTCAGTAACAGCTTGAGACCTGGCTGCAACGTTTGAATGTAGTTTATTTTCTGTAACAGCTTGAGACTTGGCTGCACTGTTTGGGTTAAAAATAAACAGCAATGCCTTGTGAATTTTTAACCAAATGAAACTCGGTAGGCTACTGCCAATAATTATTCCAATATTGTTAATATATTTATATTGATGAATGCTGACACTCTTAATGAGTCTTGTACTTTATGTTTTCTCAAATTATCTTTCACTACTAGACAATTCATTGCATTGCTAAGTTAGCATCTGTTGAGAATGTCTATTGTGCTTGTCATTTTCTTATTTCTGTTTCCATTCCCAAAAAAATCTATTTGTTTTTGTATAAAATACTGTTTTCATAGTTGTGCTTTTTCTACTTTAAGTGGTTTTTTTTTAAAAACAAAGGTTCAAAAATTAATTGTAAACATAGTTAAATCTATGCTAACAGCCAACCCTGATTGTTTGTTTAATTGTTTTAAGCTTTATTTTCTCTTTTCTACAAATACTACAACGATTGTTACTCAATTGATATATTAGTTCCCAATCCACCTACCAAAACTCAAATATGTGACTTGTTATTCAGCAAAGTTGCAATAATTGACTGTAACTGCTTCTTTGTATTCAAAAAATATTTCCAATAAATTTATTTTTCATTAACTATGTAGTTTTTAAACAGTGTGGTAAACATTTAAAATTATAATCTTAGTTTCATTATATTATTTTTGTATTTTTTAAATATTTTTAAATGCAGAAGTTTTAATAAAGTTTTTAGAAAATCTTTTAAGTCTTAACAAATTGAAATATTAGATTATTATTAATGCGGTAGTGGCGTAGTGGTAAGAGCGCTCGCTTTATAAGCGCAAGGTTCGAAGTTCGACTCCCACCATGTCCCTGGAAGTACCGCGCTCAACTTAATTTCTCCATGCAGCGGCCTTGCTTGTCAAGGTTCGTGTTTTGGAGTTAAAGAGTTGAGAGAAGGTTTTATCACGATTTACAAAAAAAAAAAAAAAAAGCAGTAGCCTCCTTGACTGTAGTGGCCCCCTCGGGCCTTAGGGAGGTGAATAATTAAAACAAAACAAAACAAAAAAAACAAAAAAAAGATAAAACATTTCTGCATGGTTTCCTAAATCAGGTTAATACCATGTTGGTAGTAGTACAAATGTTTACAACAAATAAATCCATGCAAAAATTGTGTAGTGATTTTTATTTAATTTAGATATGCGTTAATCGGCTATTGGAAAAGAATTCTCCATCACTTGATACTTACCAAATGCAAGTTTATTTTGATCTAAACTACACAAAACAGGAAGAATATTTTGTGGAAAATAAAATAGCTCTTGATCAGCGCACACAAACCTTAGTTCGAGAAATTACTGACAATAAAGCAAGAACAAAAGATGAGTTGGAATGTATTTTTTTATTAAAGCGTGTTTTTATGCTTTTGTTATTTTTATTTTCACTTTGATTTAAATTTATATCAATCAATATAAAATTTAAATAGTGTAAAAATAGTTATTAAATATTTTTATTCTGCTTAAGTAAACCAAAGATTCTATTTATAAATCTTATAATGAAACTTATCAAGCACAGTAATTAATTTTGTTCTTGAAAGATAATAATTTAATCTTTCTAGTATCTTGTGTACTTTATCAGAAAGTTTTGTCTGGTTTTTTTGTTTGGTATTAATTTATAATAAAGTAAATGATTTACTTTAGTTCTTTATGTACGTATTGTTTCATATCTTATACTTCGATCTGGACTTGGATCACCCACTGATATAAATGTTGTCCGTGAATCTACTGGTAGTAATATTTATTTTATTTATTTCAAAAATTATAATCCTAGTTTTATTAAATAATTGTTTTTGTAAAATATTTTTAAATGCAGAAGTTTTAATAAAGTTTTTAGCAAATCTTTAGAGAGTCTTTACAAATTGAAATATTAGATATATTAGTAAGGTCAGGTAATCCTGCAACTGGTAACATGTAACCCAGAACAACCTATTTCATGTCCTGCTGCCTTGTAGAATAAGCTTTTTTAGGCAAAGATCTGGAGAAGCAAACTCTGACTTAACAAATTCCCTATTATGGGATTTTTAATTGACTAAGAGATAGTGTCTTGATAAAAATACTCGTCTAGGGCAGACGTTAAATGCATCCGACTACTGTCTTGTAGAAGTCCTCTTAAGCAAAGACTTAAGGGGTAAACAAGTTCTATCTGTTGAGGAGCTTTGCACTTCTTTTTCATCTAAGAGGGTGGCATAGATGTATTTATAAGGCATTGTTTATAATGCTGGATCTTCTTTACTCATTGCATGGATTCTGCTTATGTCTCTGTTTTTATGAGTAGGCAACTTATTCTATTAACTCCTAATGAGGTATAGCTCTAAAACTCAGTTTTATGGTTCTGAGGCCGGCTGGTAGTCAGGTTTCACATTTGTCAGAGTAGTTAAGGCTGCATTTGAAGACAAAACTTTTTTACAATGGTTTCTAGCAATAGTAAACAGATGTCTATTAATTATTGCTAGAAACCATTGTAAAAACGTTTTTTTTAATGCCAAAGTCTGCTATTCTTAGTTAACAAAATCTAGTACTTTATCTCAAAAATTAGGCTCTATAAACTTCTGGAGAATCTTTAACAGTGTCTTTAATAAGGGCAAATCTGTTATTCCACCTCTGTTGCATGGTTTAAATTTTGTTACCTTATTTAAAGACAAAGCTGAATTGGTTGCTGAGAACTTTTAATTATTCTCATTTCTGGATTATTCTCATTTCTGGATTCCACTAATCACATCCTACTTTATATAGCCAACAAACAGGTTGGTTGACATTCATATCACTCCAGCCTCTGTATCTAAAGTGATTACCTGCTTAGACTCTTATACTGCTTGTGGTCTGGCTGACACACCTGTTATAGTCCGGCAGAAGTGTTCTCTGTCTATACTTTCAAAACTATTTGAAAAGTGCTTATCAAAGTCTTGTTTTCCAGCTTGCTGGAAAATGGCATCTGTTATTCCTATTTTCAAAAATTCTGGAGAACGATCTGATTTATCTAACTACCGTCCCATTAGTTAACAAACACTTAATCTCTCATCTTGAATCTAATAACTTACTTTTTGATCATCCATATGGATTTTGATCTTCTCATTTTACTGCTTATATGTTGACAGTAATAACTGATAGGTTTTATTGTGCATTAGATAGATGTGGAAAGGCTAGGGCTATTGCTCTCGACTTTTCTAAAGTCTTTAATAAAGTTTGGCATGCTGGTATTCTCCATAAGCTCTCTGTTATGGTGTATCAGATTACATCTTAAGATAATTTAATCTTTTCTTACCAATCGTGGTATAAAGATTTTCATCAATGGAAGGCACTCTACTTCATTTCCTGTAACTTCAGGGGTTCCTCAAAGTTCTATCTTTGGCCCTATACTTTTTTTTAATTAACAATAACATTTACCAGAAATTCTCACATCTAATGTGGCATTGCTCACTAATGATACTACCATTTATTCTTGTCTTGATAAGAAACCAACACGCTCTGATTGCTTGAAGGGGACATTTGAGCTTGAAAAGAATCTCATTTCTACTGCTGCATGAGGCTCTCAGTGGCTGGGAAACTTTAACTTAGATAAAACTCATTTTTTTGTAGCTAATTGTAATCACAGCAATCTAGATCTTCCTATATTTATCAAGAGTAATGTACTTGATGAGTCATCTACCCTTTGTCTTCTAGGATTAACTCTAACTTCCTATCTTTCTTGGAAACCATATATCAAATCCATTGCAAAATTAGTATCTGCTAAAGTTGCATTTCTTTATCTTCACTCTCTATGTATAAATCTTGTATAGAATTCTGTTGCCATATCTGGAGCGGATCTTCCAATGATACTCTTTCTTTTTTAAACAAGGTGCAAAAATGCATTGAAAACATATTTGGACTTGCTCTTGCAACCTTCAACTATTGTCACATTATTGTAATGTTGCTCCTTTTTTATAATTATTGTTGTTCTCTTTTTTATAATTACCTTAATCAGCATTGCTCTAATGAGCTAACATCTCTTGTGCCATCTACTAAACTTTATTCTTGTGTTACTTGTTGATCAAATAAAATAAACTTAAGGGGTAAACAGATTCTATCTGATGACCAGCTTCGCACCCCTTCTTCATCTATTAGGCTTGCGCAGATATATTTTTAATGCATTTTTTCCAGTTTAGGATGTTGAATGCCGGATCTTCTTGACTCAATGCATGGGTTTTGCTTGTGTCTCTGTTTTTATGACTAGGCAACTCATTCTATTATCTCCTAATGAGGGTACAGCTCTAAAACTCAGTTTTATGGTTTTGAGGCTTGCTGGTAGTCAGGTTTCCCGAGCTCTATGGTGGCTCTCAGAAAGGCTGATTCCATCAACAGCTGGAAAATATTAAAGTATTAATGGTGCCATGTTGTGCATGGATGGTGTCCCTGTTTGTACGTTGTGCATTGTTGAGGCCACATTTGGAGCCCTTTGTTACGGTTTAGGGTTTATCAATATTAATGAGGCAATTGCTTGGGCTATTAAGCAGTGTGCTGAGTACAATCTAAGCTTTGAGTCAAGTACTTTAAAAAATTTAAAAATGAATAAAGTACCAAAAACTATAAAATACCATCGTCATTGCCAAGTTCTCTAAACCTATCATTCACTAATATTTGTGGTCTTTAAAGTAACTTTTTATCTGTTAAGTCTTATCTCTTGCAAAGTTCACCAGACCTACTTGCTCTTTGTGAGACTAGTTTGAGTTTAGCTGTCTCATCTTGTGATCTTAGCTTTGATGGTTATCTTCCTTTAATTTGTAAAGAATCCTATAGTCACATTCTTGGCCTGGGCATTTACATTCATAAGAGTTCACCCATTTGTCAGGAAACTAGGTTTGAATCCACAGACTATTCTTTTATGTGTTTTCGTTTAGCGCCACTTCACTCCATTCCTTTTCTCTTTGTTCTATATCGCTCTCCTTCATCTTCATCCTTCATTGATGTTATTTCTGATCATATTGACCAAACCCTCTCTCTTTATCCATCAGCCAATATTGTTGTTGTCAGTGAATTTAATGCTCATCACACTGAATGGCTTGGCTCTAGAGTCAGTGTCTCTGTAAGCATTAAGGCCCACAACTTTTGCCTTTCTCAATTTCTAACACAAATAGTCAACTTTTCAAGTCGTTTTCCAGACAATCAAAATCATTTACCTTCTCTACTCGACTTTAGTCTTGTTTCTGATCCTAGTCAGTGCTCAGTTTCTCCACATTTACCCTTAGGTGCGACTGATCACAGTTTGATCTCTCTAAAACTATTATCATCAGAATCCCTCTATCATTATACGTTTTACAACTACCTTAAAGTTGACTGGGACTCTTTCCGTGATTTTCTTTGTTGTGACCCTTGGGTAGAAATCTTTTGTCTTCCTGTTGACAAATGTGCTACTTACATAACTTTGTGGATTCAGGTTGGCATGGAATCTTTCATTCCCTCTTGACAATTCTAGATCAAGCCTCTTCTCCATGGTTTCCCTCACATTGTGTTGCTGCAATTGCCAATCGTAATTGTTACTTTCGTATCTATCAGCAAAACAATTCTCAAGAAAACAGACGTCTGTTTATTACTGCTAGAAACCATTGTAAAAAGGTTTTGTCTAATGCCAAAGGTCGTTATTCACAGGTCATAAAATCTCCTATTTAATCACAAAAATTAGGCTCTCGTGACTTCTGGAGAATCTTTAATAGTAGCAATAATAAGGGCAAGTCTGTAATTCCACCTCTTTTGTATGGTTCAGACTTTGTCACCTCACCTAAAGACAAAGCTGAATTATTTGCTAAAAACTTTTTATCAATATCATCTCTTGACTCCACTATTTGCGCTCTACCTGATGTAACCGTCAAACAGGTTGATCCATTGCTTGACATTCCTATCACTCCAGCTTCTGTATCAAAAGTAATTTCCTGCTTAGACTCTTCTACAGCTTGTGGCCCGGACAACATACCTGTTATAATCTTGCAGAAGTATTCTCATGAACTGTTGTCTATACTTTCAAAACTATTTAACAAGCACTTATCAGAGTTTTGTTTTCCAGCTTGCTGGAAAATGGCATCTGTTATCCCTATTTTAGGCTTTTGAGTCTTTAATTAGCAAACACTTAATCTCTTATCTTGAATCTAATAACAGACTTTCTGATCACCAATATGGATTTCGATCTTCTCATTTTACTGCTTATTTGTCAACAAAGTTTGAGAAAGTTTGGCATGCTGGCCTCTCCATAAGCTTTCTTCTTATGGTGTATCTAGTAATATCTTTAAGATTTTTGAATCCTTGCAATCCAATCGTAGTATAATTACTTCGGAATTTACTTTTTTTATCTTGCTTTCCTGATTCATATAATTTGCAATCAATATAATTGTCAATCGTTATCTTGCTCTAAAATTTTCATCTTTTCTCTTCCATTTTTTTAAAGATGTTTAAAAAAAAATGTCTCATCCTTTTACTGTGACTGTTCCTAAGTGCTCCAAAAGCTCTTTTTTGTCAAGTTTTTACCTTCTATCATCAGTTGATTTGAATTCCCTCTCTTCATCTTGTTTTCCTGGTTCATAATAATTTGTAATAATTGTAACTTTTAAGTTGTCTGTTAATGTTATTTTGCTTTATAAACTTCATCTTTTCTCTTCCAGTAACTTTTAACTCTAATAGTGGTTGCTTGCAGCCTTGTAGGAAGTGAAAATATTAAATAAAAAAAAATTGTGTAAAATTCTGTTACTTAATTGTTTTATGAC